TTTATACATAACATTTATGCATACATAATATGTAGCAAAATATGCATTCCATTCTTCAACACAATTAAAAAAATAATTTTTTCCCAGGATTTTTAAGGATAAGATGAAGGTTAGGTAATCATATTAAATTTAATTGAACATTCATATTTCAATTCCATAAAGATTCATTGTATATTATGCTCCAACCCAAAAGACTAACGAGTCTTCTATTCTGATAACCATGATTGGACTTAACCTCATATACTACATAAATGTATAGTTTTTCATCATAAATCACTGCCCATCTCTAGTGTGAAAATTCATGAAAATCTGGCATCCAAGCTGCTTGAATACATAAATCAGATACTGCTGGATTTTTATAACCCCACAACGACTGTAGCATGGCAGAATGTCACAGTCCTTCTCATTAGAATGCAAGATTTGCAACTGCCAAAAAAGACATACGCTCTGTGTGACCTATTATAGACGCATATTTAATATCTGCAAATAAAAAGGTAACTTTGAGTCTATTATTCCAAAGAGAAATTTAGAAAAGAGCACGGACCAGCAAGGGAGAAATGAATGACAAAATTGAAAAGGACACATTCTCATTTGCAGAATCCCTTTGGAACGAAGATTACTTTAAATGCTTTTAATTTGATTTCTCAAACATAAATTGTGCCTAACTGGTAATCATTAGACTGTGCTATGGAACAAGGAGCCACGCTGTTCAGAACGATTGCCAGTCGACCCTTCCACACCCTGGGCCATCTAGAGGGCATGCCATTGTACTCTACAGAGTCTTCTCACCAAGCTGAAAAAGAGGCCTGGGAGTGTCAGAAAGTATTCCCACCAATCCACTCACAATCCAGTGAGTTCAGAATGGAAGAAAACTGGTACCTCACTCTGAATGCTAATAAATCAGAAAATGAGACTGGAAACAACAACAAAAAAATTGAATAGTATTATGTTTTTACAGCCCACAGCCCATTCTGTCTTCTTTCACTCCCACATTTCAACTAGCACTCAGCATGGCATTCCCAGATCCTACAGGGAAATCTTTAATGTTACATAGTTTAATAGGCACTATCAATTGATGCGAGGATGCCCTGAATAGGAGAGAATTTAAGGAAGCTCAGCAGCCACTGGTGAGTTGATGGGTTTAACATTCTCTCTCTCTCTCTCTCTCTCTCTCTCTCTCTCTTTTTTTTCTGGCAGAAAATTGAATGTAGTGCAGGAGAAGGAAAATGGAAAAAGAGTGATGGGTCTATGTGTGTGGGGGAAGGGGGCAGTGGTACAATAATCATGGTTCAACCTGCACATCTGATTAGACTCAGGACATATACAATCCCTGCATAGCACCAACTTGAAAAATAAACACAACCGCTGGAGACCTCACACCACAAAAGGATTAAGCAAAGCCTTTTGTACTTTTATTTTAATAGAACAATAAAGGAAACTCCCTCTTCAAAAATCTTCCTGGAATTCAGTGATTTCACCAGGGCACTGCCATTGGCACTGGCTGCCTCTAGCTCATTGTTGTTGCTCCTGACAACTGGCTGCCAGCATTCAAAGAGATAACAGTTTGCAATGCGTACATTCTCCATTGCAGGAGGGATGGAGCTGCGCCAGAACTAAATGTGAAACAGTCTCAGGATGCGCAGCAGTGCTGGGGAGAAGAGGGACCGACATGAATTCTACTGCAGGAGACCAGACCTAGGCTGTTCTCTCCTCTGCTGCAAGCTGTGGGTTGAGCACAGGGAGGGGAGGCTCCCAGGAGCCTCTCTGACCTTGATTGGTTTACTGCCACCCTTGTACTCCATGTCACACTGTTGCGGCCCCCACTTCTGTGGCAGCAGCTCTGAGCAGCCATGGCATTCCACAGGACCAAGGGACACACATATTTCGATGTACTTTGAGAAACCACCTAACACTTTACCGCCTTCTGAGTCCCACAGGAAGCATTCGACAACCACAGAATCCAGTTTCAATAATCATTTACTTATTTAAAGCAAAAATTCAGTTCAAATGCAGTTGCACTTGGATGCACACTCCACAGATCCCAGGAGAGGCCTATTTCCTTTACATTAATTGAAAATACGTAACGTCTCCAGCTGTGTTATATCCCTGTCAGTATGATCAGAAAACAAAACAATGATTTGTCTTTACTCATCCTGCTCTAGCCTCTCTCGGTGCTGCTCATTTAAATTGGAATCATTGAACTGATTTTTTGCCTTGTGCATTCAGAGGCACTTTGTTAAACCCTGAGTCCAAATGTACTAGACAACTCTGACCTACTCACAAGACTAACTTTCACCAAATTGTTGTTGAAGCCTCTTGGATGTTAAGCAAGTGTTCGTGGTATGTTAGGGTTTTCATAGGCAGGTTTAATTTTTTATCCCCGTCACATTCTAAAACTAAGAGCTTCTTTGAAAATATACAGCTCAGAATATTTAATGAAGAAATGTGCAATTTAGCATATTTAAGATACATTAAGAGTTGTGCATATACTATAGACATCAAACCCCGGAATACTTTCGTTACCCATGAAATAAACTCATCGCTGTTTGTGTCACTTCGTTTAGTCTCCATGGCAATTGCTGATCTCTATCTTTATGAATTTCTCTCTTTGGGAATCATACAATAGATAGACTTTTGTATTTGGTTTCCTTCACTTCCTGCAGTGCTTTCAAAGTTTATCTATACGGTAGCAAATATGAGTAATTCCTTCCACGTTGTAGCTAAGCAATATTTCATTGCATGGACGCTGCACTTACTTATCCAGTCACTTGGTGATGGATATTTGGGATGCTTACACATTTTTGTCTGATGTAAATAATGTTATTAGGGATATCAAATTCAGGGTTCCGGAGCGGCTATCACGGAGTCAAATTATTATGTAACATCATAACTTAGAGTTCAAGTTTTAGGGATCTCTCAAACAGTTTTCAATACAGGCTACATGATACTCATTCCTACAGTGAGTGAACTCAACGCTTACATTTTCTTACCAACACATTTTACCTTGCCTTTTCGATTTGTTTTTTTAATTTAACATCATGCTCGTGGGTATAAAGCAGAATTTGCAATTTAGTCTTTCGTCTTCCTGGAGATGAATGATATTGAACATATTTTTCTACGCTTATTTATCTTTCGTATTTCTTTGGTGAAATGTCTACTCAAATAAAGATTCAAATATTTAGAAATCTAATACTTATTTGTCATCTGTCTTGGGTTAAAAGGGGTTTTTGTAGTTTTATTTTTTCTTATTTGAAAGGCAGATTTGACAAAGAGAGAAGAAACAGAGAGAGGTCTCTTCCCTCAGCTAGCTCAGTCTCTAAATGACTGTAACAGCCAGAGCTGAGCTGAGCTAAAGGAAGAAGCCAGGAGCTTCTTACAGGTCAGAGGGCCAGATGCTTGGAACATCTGCCACTGTTTGCTTAGATCATAAGCAGACAGATGGATCAGAAGTGGAAAAAAAATGTGACATGAACTGGAGCCCATATGGAATGCTGACACTCAGTTAGGAGGCTTAGTTTGCAATGCCACCATGTGAGCCCCACAAGTGCTTTTTTTTTTGGTGTTGTTTTTTGTTTATTTGTTTGTTTTTGTATTTCTTTTCACATAGAGTAGAGTCTAGACTTTCAGCAGGTATATGGTTTAAAAATATTTTTCTCCCATTCATTGCATTATAATTTTATTTACTCATGGAGTTTTCTGATGCATAAAGAATTTGAATTTGAGAAAGTACAATTTTTCCTTTTGTTTGTGCTTTTGGTGTCATATTTCAGAATTTACTGAGTGAGAGTCCCTTCTTGTGCATTGCCTTCCAACCCTTATAAGGTTTAGCTGTTGTGTGGTCATAGATCTACACTGGTTTGATTTTCACATATGTTGTGAGGTTGGTCTCAACAGGGGCTGCTTTGCCCATTACATCCTGAGGCTGGCCCAAGATCCTTTCTACATTTGTAACTTATTTAGAAGATGGAGACAGGAAGACAGAGATCCCTGTGTCTGCTGGTTCAATCCCAGATGTTTGCAACAGCCAGGGCTGCATTGAGCTAAAGCCAACAGTCCAGAAGTCAATCTGAGTCTTCCAGGCAGAAATCAGCCAACCAAGTACTTGGCCATTCTCCTACTGCTTCTACAGCGTGCAGGAGCAGACAGCTGCAAGGGGGAGCAGGAAGAGCCAGGACCACGCCCAGCCACTCTGATGCAGGCCACAGCTTCTCTGCTGCATCGAAGGTCCTCTCCTTTAGTTCCCTCTCCAGGCCTAACAGCTGTGCAGTCTATTCACTGAGGATTGGAACTTTGGTTTCCTCTTATTTTATTCTTGCTCACACACATAGCTAATACGAAAGAGGGAATAGATAACATTTACCTATTGTCTTCTCTACGGCCTCAAAGTTCCTATGATAACTTCTGGAAGGTCATCTTACAGGAAAAAAGCTTTCTTTACTCCATCTCACCATCAATCTCTGTCTACTAAATTTTAACCACTCCTTTAATATGTCACATGTTACCCTCTATATGAATTTTCTCATGCAGAATATTTTTTCTCTAAAGTCCTATCATGCTTTTGTTTTAATCACCCAGTAACACATGCATATGTATGTATTTGTTGTAAACGTTCATTACAGATTTTGATCTGCTTTTCCTTGCCTGAAAAATGTCTGATTCTGGTTTATATTTCATTTCATCAATCATTTCTAAAAAGTAATATTTTTATTATGTCACATATAATATATGTTGTTGCAACAGTATCCTTAATTCATTCATAATAACCAAGAATTATATGTGCTACACGAAATTACTACATGGTCATTGGAATTGTTTTTGAATTCATCAAGCATGACTAATAGATTGTGATTTTAATGTATTCGAGCCATTTCCATGCAGTCAGTATCTATGGTGAAGTGGACTCCAGCCATTGACAGCATATCATGTCATTTAATCGCATTGTAAAATGAAGACTAGAGCGTGGGAGAAGCAAGGGAAACGCGTGCTCTCCGTGACAGTACCTGGCGTCAGCAGGATGACGGAGGTCACGATCAGGGAGCAGATGACAAGGATCACGAGAAGTGCGATTGCGATTCCTTTCCAGTTCCTCTGTGGAGGATTGCTCCCCACCAGCTCCTGGAAACAGCAACACGGAAGGATCTCAGCGAGTGACATAAGGACATCAAATGTGCTAGGCAGCCATACCCCACGCAAACCAGCCAACACCACAGGGAGCACAAGGAAGACGATTTCTCGAAGCTACCGGTCTCACGGCCAGAAGCCTCCGATGTTCTCTTTGCTATAGCACGGTAGAACTTTACCATCTCAGAGAAGAATCCGTGAGGTTTATGCTGTAGTGCAGTATGTGAGGCTGCCATCTGAAATCTGGCACTTTATCCCAGAGGTTTGGTTTATGAGCCCTGGTTGCTTTGATTCCAATCAAGGCTTTAAATGCATTGATAGAGTCATAGTAGCATTATAGTAAGTGATGGGGAGGAATCTTGAGACATTGCTGAAAATTGCTAATGGCTGAATAATTGTAGGAAATTAATCAGGAATATTGGTCTTTGAGATCAAATTTTAGGGAGAGTACGTTATTTACAGTCCAACCTGAGACTCTCTGAAAGATAAGACTCTATGGAAGACAAAGGTGGCACAATGAATCAATAAATAATAAGCACAATAGTTAAATACTATTCTTCTTATTAAATATATAGGAATACATAAGGACACAGGACCACTCTGTCAATGGACTACTCCTAGTAATGTAAAGATCTGGGAATAGTCATGCTCCTCTCTTGGGGTGTGCATAATTGTGACCTATATGAAATGAAGGTCCAAAATGAAAAGTGGCCAGGACCAAGCAGGGACTGAGGTGGCCACTGCTGTCCTTCACATGTCACCATACTGTCCAAGAAGACCGAAAGAGGAGAGACACTAGAAATTCATCCAAGAAAGAAAAAGACCCTCAGAACAAATGAGGAGTCGAGGTCAGAAGTGGCCCACAGGCAATGCTCAGCACAAGCTCAAAAACTTAGCTTGGTTTGATAAAGCTATTTATGACGAGTTCTGTAAGAAAGTTTCCGAAAGCACGTTTCTAACCATGACTATGCTTCCTGAGAGACAGAGAATTCATGGAGCACTTGAGTGAAGAACTTATTAAACCAGTTTCTAAACAGAGCTCAAGTAGTTGATATCAGACAAAAGTGGTGGCTTCACAGACACTGAGGAAGCTTGAGAATCGGCCCAATGAATTACATATCTGGAAAAATAAAATCTTTCTAATTGCAAAACAGATAGTGCAATAACAAATATTTATCCATGATTGAAAGCTCATAAGAACATATCAAATTACTGCAAAATGTTCATTGTGGGTCTTCCTTGGCCCAAACACACTCACCATGCATTGCACAGGCTGATTTTAATAGTGGTTTGTATCAAGCAATAAATACTTAAGAGTTTTTGGAAGAGAGAGAGTTATTTTGTGTAGCTTCAGAAGGTAAGGTGAGAACAAAAGCGATATACAGAAACAGAACTGTAGATCAGCATAACTTCAGAATGTCCACCACAAAGAATTGCATGATAACAGAGTAACTGCTTTACCGGGGAGCAAGCAGGATGAAAGAACATTTGTGAGTCTCCTCAGGGACAGGAACAGAAATGTGGTCTTAAAATTGTCGAGCACAGCATCAGTTACTTGGACACAAACAGGATGCTGAAGACAGATACAGAACTACACGAGTTGGTACTGAGGATGGAAAAGTTGACACTGACTGGGAATAGACAAAAAATCAACTCATATAATCAAAGATCTAATGCTGGAAACTCAGAAACTGCTAAAAGAAAGTATAGGGGAAATATTTCAAGATCTCGTATAAATGATTACTTCTTAAAAGACACCTCAAAAGCAAAACCAGGCGAGTGTGGCAATATCAAACTAAGAAATCTCTGTACAGCAAAGAAAATAATCAATAGTGTGGAGTGGCTTCAAACAGAATATGAGAAAATATTTGTAAACTATTTACCTGAGAAAAGTTAATACCCACAATATACCAGCAACTCCAAAAGTTCAACAAGAAAGCATAACCAGTCCAGCTAGTCAGTGAGCAGAAGGCACAAACAGATGGTTTTCAAGAGAAAAACAACGACAATTGTTCAATAAATCTATGACAAATAGATGCTCAATAACAATAACCATCAGTGGAATGGAAATCCAAATGAGGATGAGTTGTCACCTTACTCCTGCCAGAATGGCTAACACTGAAAAGAAGAGAGCAGTAAGTTCCGGTGAAGATGTGAAGAAAGGGGAATTCTCACATATTTCTGGGAAGGTAAATGCGGGTACTCAGTGTGGAAAGAGTAGGAAGTTTTCTCAACATGCCAGAAACGGAAATGCCATATGACCTCAGAGTCCTACAACTGGATACATACCGGAAAAATGTGAAATCATTGTTACCAAAGAGGCACCTGTGCCACCACCACATTTGCGGCAACACTGTCCATAGTAGCTAAAACACAGAATTGGCCATATATCAACAGATATATATATATATATATATCTCAACAGATATAGGGATAAAAGAATGTTATATACATATGTTATTATATGCATACAATGTACATACTAGACACAATGAAATACTATTCAACCATAAAAAGTGAATGAGATCCTGTCATTTGCAACAATATGGATAGAACTGGAGGGTGTCACTTGGAGAAAGACAACCAACTGACATTTTCCATCCTGCGTGAAAGCTAACAAAAAAGGATACCCAAATCCGTACACAGAATAGTGATTTCTAGATGCTGTGAGAGATGGAAAGGATAAAAAGTGTTTGGATAATATAAATAGAAGAATCTGGGTGTGGTTCATTCATTCTAGCAGAGATATGAAGACGAGACATTAAAAAGGGAAATGAGGTGAAGAACATATGTAAATTTACATCTGATCTTAGGCAAAAGGCGGAGAGGCGATAATATATGTAAATGTAAAACTGTTCTGAGACACGACGTATGTAACGCTAAAGCAGGAAAAAAACAAAGCTCCTCCAGGTTTATTGCACTAAGAAAATATTTTGCACAGAAAACCCATTCAGTTCTTATTATTGAATGAGATAACCAGAGGCAGCTCAGACACGACACTGCAAGGGTTCTTGTAGACGCCATTCTCTAAGTACCGACACATCATATTTTCCTTCAGACAGGGTTCCTGCATTTAAGCAGCAGAAAAATGTCACTCGGGCACAAAGATGTTCTTTACCAACTTCCATTTTCATTTGTCACATTTCATTTTTCAGAGTACAGGTCATCTTCTTTCGCTATACCAACACCATCGTAACATAATAAAAGGCAGTAAGAGGAAAAATTACGAAGAAGATGGCTAATCCAGGCAATGAAAACTTTTCCACGTTCCTCTCTATTCCTGGTCTATGTGCATATTTCATTTTTTATAAAGGTATGCCCAGAGAAGAGACAGATTTTTAACTTCAGATTCAGGTTAACAGGTGCTTCTTTGAATATCCACTTTTACTCCTAAAATTCAGACTTCTTAATATTAACTTGCCCATGTTGAACTATGAAAAATTTGAGTCAAACTGACCCTGAGTTTGAGAGTAAATCAATCAGTCAATTGTTGCTGACATGTTCAGTTTCAGTAAGTGCACTTCTCAGCTGAATTACATATTTTAGGTCCAGCATGGCAACAATGAGACCATCATGTGTTACCTGTTTCTAGTTAATATTATGTGAAGACTTTTGAGAATCAGGAGCATGGCGATGAATGTTTACAATTGACCTTTTACGTAAGTAGGGGCCAAAAAATCTACCACCTTCTCATTGTCCATCAATTCACCCAGCCAGCAGGTTGTATGTACCCATTCACTCACCTGCCACTCAATGTCTCCTCATTTCCTCACCTGCCCTTCCTCATCCCATACCTGCATTCATATCCATACAGCAGCCACCCAGCCACACGTCCACCTCACACTTACCTAGGGCTTACTCTGCTAGGCCATTTCTGGAGACTTGGATATAGACCTGAACAAAACAGCGATGCCGCTCACAAGCCAAATTTCCTACGTTTCCTCCATATTTCTCTCTTGTGTTCGAGATCAGGTAAGTCCATTAAGAGAAGACAACACAGGATAAGTAGCTCAGGTAAGCCGCTGGCATGACAAGGTCAGAGAGACAGCCTAGCCAAGTGCTGTCTGAACACAGTCGAGAGAAGATAAGTCAGGTAGAGGTCCTTGCAGACACGATTCAGCAAGATAATACAGGCTTCAGGCGGGGGCGCAAGCAGGAGCAGGGATCAGCACTGCACCAGGGAGCTGACTGAGCTGTTAGAAACCAGGCTAGGCGGCCCGGTGCAGTGGCCTAGCAGCTAAAGTCCTCACCTTGAACCGCCAAGATCCCATAGGGGCGCCGGTTCTAATCCTGGCACCTCCACTTCCCATCCAGCTCCCTGCTTGTACCCTGGGGAGGCAGTCGAGGCCGGCCCAGAGCCTTGGGACCCTGTACCTGTGTGGAAGACCCTGAGGAAGTTCCTGGCTCCTGGCTCCTGGCTCCTGGCTCCAGACTGGCGCAGCACCAGCCATTGCAGTCATTTGGGGAGTGACTCATCGAACAGAAGATCTTTCTCTGTGTCTCTCCTCCTCTCCGTATGTCTGACTTTGTAATGGAAATAAATAAATCTTAAAAAAAAAAAAAAGAAACCAGGCTATGAGCAAGGGGTCGGGGGTACACGTCCTGGCACTTATATGTGAGTCTCTGCTTTCCTCTAGGTCAAAGAGATGTGGTCACAGGAGAGTGTATGACTCCAACTGCCCCTTAGATAACCAGGGAAGCCGGGGTGGGGACAAGTTGGGGCCAGCCAAGAGAGGAGTATGGTCAATCGCTCCAGGTAGCAGTGGTACTCATTGTGAGTTGTTCAATTCTGGGCACAGTGCTATTCCAGACAGATTACACAGACCTGGTGCTGGGAAACACGTGTGTATCACATCCATATTTATAGATCTCTCTGAGGATCTAGCCTTCCGAGCTCTCAAGAGAAGCCTCCTTGGTGCAATGTGACCCAGTAACTGTCCTCAGAATGAGGCTATTGCATCCTGCTTCACCTCTCCCCACAACCACGCTCCAAG